AGTACATTTTATATATTTCAAATACAAACAAAAGACAGCTAAATAGGCACTCTACTGAATTTCTCCCAAACAAATGACTTCAAAAGCCATCCAAAACATGTAATTCTTTTTTAAAAGGGGAAATGTACAGGAAATGGTAAGAGATTATAATCAAAGATCTTTAATGGAGAATATCTGGCATTGTAATATAGTACTTACTATGAAAGTTACAATGGTGAATTTAAAGTAAGTTTAAGTTAATGATTATTCCACATTGGGTGATTAAATGAGGTTGGTTTGAAATGGTAAAGCTTATGATTAGCTCATTTTAATTTATTAATTCTTTTTCATCTGAACTGATTAGCTATGGAAATGTTTTCCTTTCCCCTTAGGAATAGGCAAACATTTATTAAAAGAGAAGAAAAAGCTAATAGTCATAAACCTTCTAATTAATATAGCATCTGCACTACCTCTTCAAATATAATATTCCAGAAAAACAATTAGAAAATGAGTAAGACAACATAAAATTCCTCTGGATTCTTGTAGACCAGCGATTTTCAACTGGTGTGCCACAAGAATTTTTAAAACATACAATACCTGACTATTTAGTCAGGGATGCTGACTTTTTTTCCCTTAGAGCAGCGATTCTCAATCTGTGGGTTGCGACCCCTTTGGGGGTCAAACAACCCTTTCACAGGGGTCGCCTAAGACCATCGGAAAACAGATATATAATTACATATTTTTTTGTGACTAATCACTATGCTTTAATTATGTTCAATTTGTAACAATGAAATTGGGGGTCACCACAACATGAGGAACTGTATTAGAGGGTCGCAGCATTAGGAAGGTTGAGAACCACTGCCTTAGAGTATCAAATAAAAAATAACAGCAGCAAATATAAAAATAGCCATCTGGTGTGAATGAATCAAAATTATACTTATTTTTTTTTGTCAGATCAACAAAAAACATATTTTTTGGTGTGCTGCAGAATGTTAGTAATTAGTTTATGTGTACCATGAGATGAAAAAGGTTGAAAATTGCTGTTATGGACCATCAACAAGTTGCTCAGGCTTTAGCATTTGACATTATTAATCAGCTATCTCTTTAAATAAAGATCTCTTCCTCCTGCCACCTATTGTTTTTTTTTTTTAATTTTTAGTTCTTTCTACTCAGTTTGCTGTCTCTTTCATGTTCTCATTCAAAGTATTAACCTGTTCTCAAGAATTCAAATATTGTTTCTTTCTGATAAGCATCTGCTTAATTAGTCCTGATACTATTCTAAAAATGTCCATTTCAGAAGTCCGATGTGCTATCCATTCTATATTTCTGTCTACCAAACAGTCATATTCAGTTATTCATGAGAAATTCAATTATAATATGTTTAAAGTTTATTCCAAAGGAATGCTTATGGAAGACCTAACTCTATCTTGGTCACTGTCCTGGGTGCTGGGCCTATAAAAATCATGTGGCATAAGGAACTTAGATATAATGGGGGAGAGAGACCCATGAACAAGTAGTTAGGGATACAGTGTGATGAAGGCTGAGAATAGAGAAATGTGCACAGTGTGCTCTGGGTGCCCAATGAAGTAGGCTAATCCCCTAAGATTCCTCCTTTCTTACTTTTACTCATTGGCGCTCAAAACACTACAATCATCTTTAACTCACTTTTTCTATATTCCATATTATTAAGTTAGTTACCAAATCCCATTTGTGATTCTTCCAAAACTCTCATAGAAATACTTTCCCCCTCTATCCTCTACTCCTTGCTGTCCCCATTGCCACTGCTCTAGTCCAGTCTCTCTCAATTTCCCATTAACTTGACTCCCTGTTTAAATCTCTCCTGATAAAAATTTTCCAGTATTAAGATGCACTTTCATCAATTAATTGTATTTCTTATTGAACCAAGGTTTACTACCTAATAGCTATAAGCCTTACTCAAGTTGTTGAACTTCTCTAAGCCTCTTTTCCTCATCTGCACAATAGACTGCATCTCAAAGTTTAGTTTTCAAAACTAGGTGTAAGTATGAAAAAACAGTGCTTAGCACATAGTAAATGTAGCTCGGTACACCTATGACATTGTAATAAATTTATAACCTTTTTACTTTGTAGTTTTTTTTACCTTCTCTCCCCATATTAAACCATATGCTCCTTGAAGGCAGGGATTAAATGTTATTTGTCTTCAGAAATGACTTGTGAACCACTTTTTCCTTGGCCTATGATTTGTCATCCAATAGGAGTTGACAGACTCCTGTTTGATTCACAGTTGATGGGGACAAAAAGCACCAGAGCTCAATTAAAATGAGACTTGAAAGATACTGGGTATCACTAAAATCTATGGAATTATGTATTAAATGGTCCCCAAAGAATCAGCTATTTCAAAAATTAAAAATTATTACAAAGAACTTAATACATCATGTTATATCATATATCACACACCATAAAAATGTCAGGAGTAGCTTTATTGTACATTACTGTATTTCTTGATGGTGATCTATCTGAACAAAGTAGGCTTGCTGAATTTAAACATGGGTAATAAAGCTCACACTCTAAAAAATGCTTAAAATATGAAAGAGAACTGGGGTGGTGGTGGAGAATTACTTGGGAGAATGCAGTTAGGGGATTTTTGAATCTCAACAGTTTACAATTCCTTTCACAGCCCATAAATGATTTAACAGTAATACAGAGTGCCCAGAAGTAAATATTTCCATTTCTGTCACTGTACAACTTATAATAAGTAACCAGATCCAATGGTGAATGATTATATTGTTATGATACATGCTGATCTTATCTTTTTTTCTTTTTTGTTTTGGTTAGACTTCTAATGCCTTGGAGCCTTGACAAATCATTAAGCAAGTCACATCAGCTGATGCTGGCTTGAACAGCTGCAATGTAACTTGCAAAGGCCAATTCATCAAAACTCTTAGGATCACACAAACAAGGGAAAAATACCAAGGGACCTCCCCTTTATCTTTCTGGCTATTGGTGTTCCATGGGAAGGGAAGAAAACAACATGAACAGGATTTAAATGCTCTGTTTTGACAGGTTATTAAGATTCCAACCATAACCTGTCTGCTCCTGATCAAGCCAAGTCCAGACACGTAGTAGACTATCTCTAAAGCAGTTACACATACATAGAAAACAAAAAATGTTGGAAAAGAAGAAAAAGTAGAAAAATCAGGCCAACATGAATAATTTGGTAGAGTTGTGGGGATTTGAAACCAAGACACATGCTAGTGTCACAGGGTGTATCAGTGTAGTTGACTGGCACAAAATTTCCTGCACAGAATTTAGATTCTGGTGGCTTAAACGCTGTCAATCTCATCTTGTTCTACTATGTAATCGATAGTTCCAACTGAGACCTCAATGGGAGGCCTGGTTCTTATCCTCTGAAATTAGAGCTCACCATATGTATGAGATTTCTCCCATGGGGCCAGCTCTGATACAGGCAGTGGGGCACCAACTCTGACTTGTCTAAGGTTCTTTAGAAATATTCTTCTAATACTACTAGTTTCACTGTGGTGGCACAGGCTTGGGTTCTTGTTTCACACCCTTCTCCCCAAGGCTGAATTTAACATTCCTCACTCTCATGAAAAAAGATTTCTATTGGACAATTAGATGGCTAGTATGTCTTCTACCACATTTTGTTCAAAGTAGACTCATAGGAGCAGGTGTGAACCCTTTTCTTCTATACCCTGGATGTTGTGGTGGGGTTGAATCTACTATAGTACTTGTTCAGGGATGCTGATCTTCAAAAGCATTTGACAACTGTTATTAGGCACTCCACCTTAAATTTCCTTAATCCATCTTGTAGCACAATTAGAAATCTCTTGAAAGTGACACAAGGAAGTGCTTTGTTGAATGGAAAGGGAGCCAATCAAGTTGCTTTCCCTTTCAGAAAAGTGGCTTTTCTAAGAGTTTGACAGGATTTGGAGAAGAGGTATGAGTGGAGTGATTTTTTTCCATATTAGGATTAAGTGATTTTTCCCACATTAGCATTTGCAAGTTATAAAGCTCCAACAGAACAAACATATTGTACATACTGAAAATTTCCTAAACCACATGGAGCAGAAATTGAATTTTCAACCTATTTTTTATATGTAAACTATTTGGTTGTCAGGTTTCTGTTTTGTTTTACTTTGGTCTTTTCTTTTGAGAGTTAGATTTAGACCACCCTGAAGGCAAGGGTTAAAACATTTTCCCTCCTCTCCAGGGAATGAAGATGAGGCAGTTTTGCTTCTACAAAGTTCTTACTTGTCCTTAAGGAAGAAGAAACCAGTTCACTGTTGTGGAAATTTAGTTGTTCAAGGCTCTATTTCTGACTGTTTTTCTGTTCTTTAAGAACTATTGTGAAAGAAAAGAAGAGAACTTCTGGAGAGAAAAGAGAGATAAAGAAAGGAAGCAGTAAAAAGTAAAAAGTAAAAAGGTTAAAGAAAGGTAAACCACCCCCAAAGACCCCAAACCAGGAGAGTGGTTTGAGGATGGGCCACTGCCCAGGAGTTGCCAGGGGAAGGTCGAAGACAGGCCCCACAGAGGCACACTGCAAACTCCCAGAACTCCCTTGGATCAGAATCTTGTCTTCAAATTGTCCAGTTTCTAGCTTGAACTTGCTGGATGACCAGCTAGTCACCTGGGGAATGGGCCCAATGCCTCACTGGTGCTATAGTCTTTGTTCTGACACAATTTGCCTACTTCATGAGGACATCTCTGTATAGTAGCCCCCCAGGACACTGGGTACGCAGAATGGGGCAGAGTGGAGGAAAAGTCTTGGATATTAAATATTAGAAATGGACCTATTCACTAAACCCGTTTTCTTTTACTCAATCATATAATTAAGGATTCAAAAAACAGTTAAGAGTAAGCTAGATAAATAGATCAATATAAGGAGCCCAAAGACAGACCCAAGCATATATGGGAACTTGGTATTTGAAAGAAGTGAGTTCACAAATCTTTGAGTGGAAGAATAGATTATTCAATAAATGGGTTTGGACAACTGTCCATTCCTATGGGGAAAAATAGATTTCTTACCTCAACATCCACAGAGTATTTCCCAAATGGACTAATGAACTAAAGGAAAAAACAAATTCAAATTACTAGGCTTACTTTAAGGTAAGAAAGGCTTTCTTAAATAAAACAAACAAAAAAATTGAAAATCATCAAAATTTCTAGAAAACAATTTTTTTAAAGTTGCTAAATCCGTTATAGAATAGAAGATATTTCCACCCTGAATGAAAAGATAAAGGCTTGGTACTAGAGCATGTGTATATTTTTATCTCCTATACATCAATGAGTGGAGAAAACAAGCCACTAATAGAACAATGGCAAAGGAAATAGAACAGCAGCTCACAGAAGAATAAGTCTGCTTATCTAATAAGCATATTCCAAAAAATGTTTTCACTGGTTAAACAATAATGTGATACCATTCTAATCCTGATGGTCAGAAATTTAAATGTCAGACAATGTCAAATATGGGTAAGAAAGTGGGGACTCCGTGTATCTCTGGTGAGAGTGTAAATTGGTACAACCACTTTGGAATGCACATGGCAATACCAAAAACATTTGGAAATGCACATCCATATAATAAGCTATTCCTTTTTAGAATATATGTCTGAGAGAAACTTTCATGTATGTTTAGAAGGAGACATGTACATGTACGTTTATTGTAACATTGATTGATACTAGACATTTGAAAATAATCCAAGAATCCAAAAAGGAAAAAATTGTATGATGAAATTTTATATTGCAATGACAAAGAGGTCAGGCCACTGCCTATGGATATGTCTAAAAACTAATATTAAGAAGCAAGAAGCAAAATAAGAGAGTATATTACATATGCAATATTTTAAAACATACCAAATAATTTATGCATTGCTTATGGATTGCATATGAATGTATGTTGAGATCTGAAAGAAGAATCTGAAGTACAGACTTGAAGAAAATTGTGGTAGTTGCCTCAGGAGAGTGAGAAAAAGAGAACTAGCGGGATGGTAGTTATGGAGACTTTAGTTTTATGCTTAATATTTTCTTTTTTAATGTGGAATATAAGTAATTGCTATATTATTCTATGTACTTTTCTGTATTTCAACATTTCTTACCCTAGAGCCTAATATGCTACTTTGAGAGAGGTTCGCTTTGACTTCCCGACGTGTTGATGCAGACCTGTAAAGGAAGAGGAAACATGGAGTGCAAAGTAAATGTGAGACGCTCTAAAGATGCCACTCCAACTATTTTATAGTAAAACTAGAGGCCCAATGCATGAAATTCATGCAAGAGTAGACCTTCCTTCCCCCAGCTGCTGGCACCAGCTTTCCGCTGGCACCCGGGACCCAGGCTTCCCCCTCAGCCCTGGCTTCGTCCAGAAGGTCATCTGGAAGGACATCTGGTCTAATTAGCATATTATGCTTTTATTATTATAGATGGTTTCTTAAGCAATTTTTTTTTTTGAGAATAGTTTTACTCTTGCCATTCTGTTATGTGAATAGAACAATGAAATTAAAGAGACTCTGTTCTGAAGGAGGACCTGAGAGATCATTATAAAATAATTTTACAGATGAGAAAACAAAAGCCCAGAGACCTGCTGAGGGTAATTCTACTTGTTAGTAATCAAGTCAGGACAAAAACTCCTAGACCACACTGGAATGTTACATAAACCGTCTTTTCCGAACTATCATCTTTATTCATCTTTCCTCCCTCCTACCCTCCTACCCCCCCTCACCCTGATAGAATTCTACTCCTCCTCTATTACTATACTTATTACAGTTGGGTTGGTGTTATTTATTTATGTCTATTTTTCTTACTAGAACATGAACTTTTACTCCTAGAAGTCCAAGGCAACTTCTGATTTATCTTTATAGTTTTGCACATAGTAGGTAATCGATAAATAGTTGTTAAATATTCTAACTTGGTTATTATATTTATGGTATTACCAGCTTGGTATAAAGGACAATATATTTAAAGGAATTTAGCACTTAGATTTGTTATAACTCTAATAATAAAGCAACAGAACTATTTAATATCGAATCTTCATTTTAGAGATCACTCGATTCAGGGAGCTGAGCCATAACATCTCTGCCATGTTTTTTGATATATACATTACAGGAAAGACGTGTCTCAAGCAGCTGAACTTGCCTTATCACCCTAATGGTGTGTGACTCAATGGAGCACAGGCAGGCTTTCTTAGAGGGGTGAACATGAGTGACCCTAGTTCTCCTAGAATCATCTTAATCTTGTATTTCTTAACATTCAGCCCCTGCAGCTGATGCATGTTTAAAAGATTTTCACTCACACTGTTTTGCCAAAGTGATAGATTTTATTCACCAGCTGGAATTTTCATGTGTTCTGTAGCTTCCTACAGCTTTCCACTGGGCTTGGTTCTCTCTGCTTCCCTCTATTAGTAATGACTCTGGAATAATGGGAAAGGGCTCAAATTCAAGCTGTACAGCAATTTAAATATCACTCTTTATAGTTTTCTCTCTCACATTTCTACACCATCCTGTCTGCTAATATTAACACCACAGCTTGAGGCAGGCGCAGACCAATTTGCCTTTATGGATTCTTTGACCCCTAAATGTCCTTGCTCTGTTTCTAAGCCATTCCAACACAAGCCTGGTGTTTGCACTACAAGCCTATATCTACTTATATCCTATATATAAGCAAGTAAACAGAGCAACCTTTTCTTTATTCCTCATATAAAGCAGACTGTACAAATTATAAATATACATAGATCTCTGCTTTCTTTTAGTAATTCACAAAAAATCTACATATTTAGAAAACATGTGAAGTAAAAGATTGGATTTTTTTATTGAATGACAACATCAGGCTCTGGGAATGAACTTGATACAACTTATTGAAATCACTGTGGTTGACATATATGAAAAAAATTGAACTCCTAGTGAGGTCTTTATGAAATCAGTTATGTTTTTAACATTGTGTAAATATTACTTTTGTTGAAGGGATTACCAGGGAACAGTAAAAAGAAGAACATTTTAAACTGGATACCTTCTTCTACCTTCTCAGCACCAAATGAATGACTAATTAAATCTGTTATATGAAAACGTCATAGCAGATGATGCTTCCCATTAACAAGTACATAATCCTATATAATAAAGAGCTAATATGCTAATTAGACAGAACAGCAGAACGACTGCTGTCAGGAACTTCCGGACGAAGCCGAAGCCCTGAAGGCAGAGCCCCTTGCACGAATTTCATGCATCGGGCCTCTAGTGAAATAATAAACACGCTGAAGCGAAAGACATAAGAGACTTCAGATCAGTTGTGCAGTAAGCAATCTATCTCAGGACTCAGAGGTCAACCAATGGGAAAGCTGTCTGCATGAGAGAAAAATAGATCAGTTAACAGAACAGAAAATCCAGAAATAGATAATAATATATGTGAGAATTTAACATATGAAAAATTTGTAGCTCAATTTGGTGGTGGTGGTGGGGGGTGTGTAATATACTTTACTTAAGTAATAGTGTTAGCATAGTTCACATATTGATCTATGAGCATGAAGAAAAATGCAGAAAGACACATTGCAAGTTGCTTGGAATGTGGACGTGGAACATAAGGCAGGAGCTGGGGGAGAATAGGAAAAAAGGAAAATAATAAATCATTAAGCAAACTTAGCATGCATGATTTATACCATATATACATACATATATACATTTACATTTTAGTATGATTGTATTAGAATATATAGAGAAAAACAGATGGGAGTGAGGAAGAGATGTACTGACTTATAAGAATCTCTATGCTCTATAAAATGAAGAAAGCAAGTTGAAGATTGACATCTATAATTTGATTCTGTTTAGCTAAAACCAAACAGACACACTGTATAAGTCAGGGTTTGATCAGAGAAGCAGAACTTCTAGGAGTCATATAGAAAAAGGAACTTATTATAGGAATTTGACCTCACTCAAGGTCAAGGTTAGAGCTGATTAAACAGTTTAGATATGACTATTGCTTCTGCGCCCAGCGTTTAGCCTGAAGTCTTCAGGGCAGGCTGTTGGAAGTGGAAGATGGACATGAATTGAAATGTCATTCCAAAGGTAAATTGGAAACTAGGAGGACAAGCTGGAACCCAGCTCTTTCATTTCTTCCAAACCTCTGACTTCAATGATGTGGGCAACCTGCAGAGAAGCCGATGCCCTTGGTCATGAAGTGGTACATGCAGCTGACCCAAGAGTAGGAGAAGCTGAAGGAGGAGGTCCTGTGGAGCTGGTGAATCTGTGAACCGGCTGCTTTCTGATGCCAAGGTGAGCCAGCAGATCCCCCAAAACATGGATAAGCTGCTACATTACCTGACCCTGTACCAACCTTCCCAATCTAATTGTTGCTGATGTTTCATTGCTGCCTTCCAAATCTCATGCAAATTTCTCTGTGGCCAATCCTAGCTCAGAACCATGCAGGGAAGGCAATTCTGAGGAAAGGAATTCTGGTAAATGTAACCACCATATTACACACACACACACACACACACACACACACACACACACACACACACACACACCCTATGTAAGTACACGTATACCTTTATGTTGGTATGAATAAGGAGAAAAGCCTGGAAAGATATACCCCAAGCTGTCAAGCCTGTTTTCATCAGAAAGATGGTATTGGAGGGTTGTGGCCAGAGTTTAAATAAAAGATAGTATGCAGCTATTATAAGGAACAGATAGGTCTCTATGTACACATATGGAAAGGCATCCAATGTTATGATGTTAGTGGAAAAAGAATTAATATCTAAAAAGTAATCTAATCTATGGAAAAATAACCCAATATGTGTGGAGACACAAATTTAGATCACTTACTAGCTCTATGACCTTTAGCAAGTTATTTAATCTACACACCTTATTTTTCTTATTTGTGAAATGGATATAGTAATATTAATGATAGTATCTGGATTACAGAGTTATTGTGAAGATTAAATGAGATCTTTATAGTGCCTTGAATGGTGTTTGACAAATAGCAAATGCTCAATAATACTAGTAATCATTATCATTATTTTGGTTACTTCTATCATTATTAATATATCTGAATGGAAATAACTTGCTTCCTTCTCAGACCCTATCAACTCAATTCTATCCTTTCAAATCAAGGAGAAAAGGAGGAAGGGAAGGGGATTTGATTTACAGAGCTGCCCCAGAAGTTTGTCACTGGCCTATGGGTCAGTGAGTTGTAACCCTGGATAGTCATTAAAAGGATGTCAATGGAGAAAAGACACAAGGTCAAGCAATGCTTATACGGAAAAAAGCCTGGGATTGAGACAGGCAGTCCTGGCTGTGTGAGTGAGAGAGAGAGACAGAGGGGGAGAGAGAGAGAGAGAAAGAGATTGAGAGAGACTGTGCTCATGTGTTAGCACAAACATATGCTTGTGTATAGATTGGAAAGAACCAATACAACAACTGAGAATGCATGCATATAAGGAAACACTTAAAAATCCTGCAACGGCAAGTCAGAGTGCTATATATTATTTTATATTCTCTAATCTTCATATGAGAGGTAAAACAAGGGACTGCCAACATACTCATTTATGTACCCTGAGACCTGTAATTTATTTCATCGTATTTGATGCTAGAGGGAAACATTTATTTATTTAAAATTACTCAGAATATAGCAAAAAGCTATTCTGCAGGTATGAAATGTGTCTAAACTGCAAAAGAAGAACACAAAAATAAACTGCAAAAGAAGAAAACAAAAAATAAACAAATAAAAAACCCTCTTCACTTCTGATACACAGTGAAAGCAACATGAGGCTTCTTTTGTTTCTAGTGTCTGCTGGAGGAAATGAAACAATGGGGCATGAACACAGTTCTCAACCCTTTTTTCTATGGGGGCTCACGTGGCTGACTAATGTTCCCTAGCACAATGCTCTTCTAAACGTAATTCCCAGCACACTGGCCATTACTTCATCTCATTCATTGCCACCCAAGAGAGCATTTCAGGATATAAATGAGTGAGTCTGACATTGGAAGAGAATAACCTTGGAGACATTCAATTTTTTAATTAAAAAATGTAATGCATGAATATAATCTCATTGTAAAAGACTAAAATAATAAGAAAATATATCCAATACATTTCTGTACTAGCTCTCACTCTCACACTTCCCTTTTACAGAGAGAATTTTAAAAATTATTAACAATTTGGTGTATATCCTTTAAATG